GAGAGGTGTGCAAAGTTGGTGGGGTGCGCCGCTCGCTTGTACGCGCCGCTCGCTTGTAAAACACGTTATATATATAAGGTTAAAGTTGTAAGCTTATGCTTCTTAACAGAGCCAGTAATAGTGTATGTCAACGTGTCTAAGCGACGTCTTAAGTCGTAGTGTAGCTACTATAATCAGCCATATTGTCTGTTGGTTATCGCAGTATAGTATCTGCTCATTGCCTAAATCAAACTCAATCTCCTTAAATAGTCTCTACCACTATAGCAGCTCCGTGCCTGCAGACAAGGCGGCGATTAGTTCAGCTTTAGTAGTTAATTTTGTAACATATTATTGCAATGTCGCCTTCTAGTTGATCGGGCTGCTAAATAGGAAGAAGATATAGCCTTACAAGCTCTTCCTTGTAGCCTTATGGTCAGCGTACAAAGCATCTATCGTACTATAGAAGTCTAGTTCTTGATAATCTTTAATATGTGCTGTATTAGTAGAGATGGAGGCGTTATAGTATAGTACTCGATCCTTTATAGAGTATAGATAGCTAAGCGTTTAATAGGTAGTATTAATATACTATTGTAAAGGGTTGGTAAGGAATTTAGCTAGCTTTGAATGCGCTTTTAATATATTAGGCCTTATAGTAGTTGCAACGTAGCTAATTAATCTAACTAGCTACGCGTATTAGTGTATATTCGCGTCATTTCTTAGCTAGTCTAAAGAGAGTAGTTCCTCTAGAGGGAGAGGAGTGGCTAGAGGCCGCTTAAACGACTTTAGTAATAGATATTTAGCGCTGAGCTTATCAAGATACGCTAACTATAATAGCTAGATAGATCTAGTTGATCTATTACGGTATATTTATATTCTATAGAAGGTGGATAGTTCTCTAAGCGACCGGATCTTATATCAACGTAGTAGCTTACGTTTAAAGTTGTTAAGTGCTGCTATATAGGCTAGACGCGCGAGTACAACTATATTATTAATATAGAAGAAGACAATAAGCTTTTCATTTCGCCAAAGACAAGGTGCCTCTTTAACTTCTTAAAGACCTAGTTCTTTAAGTATCTTTGTGAGCTCTTTATACCATAGTAGTAGTAAGGCCTTAAGCCTATAGAGAGCTCTACGTAGTTCCTATAGATGCTCGGTATTAGAGAAGCCTTCTAGCGGGTAATAGTAAATAGGTGTATTAAGTTAAGCATTAGTAAATACGTTGACTGCGTCGTATTAACGTATTTTAAGGTTAAAGTATGCTGCAATAGCTATAAGTCCTTAAAAGATGCGTGTAGCTAGAGTTGCAGCGTATATGTCTTTAGCTATAGCTTAAAGATCACCTTAAACACAGATTCTGGCTTTGTATTTAACTAGATATCCCTTATTATCAAGCTTATATTTAAATACCTATATTAGCAGCAGGACTTTAGTGTCTTAACTATTAAAATCCTTCTACACGATAGTGCTATAGGTGTCTTTACGCTTAATATCTAAGATCTTACGTTGCATTGCTGCTATAAAGCCTTGCTTATATACAGTAGAGAGCTTTATAACGTCTTAATAGAAACGTGGCTTAGAAGGTAGCGTTAAGTGGTGAAATCGTGTTTTTAGAGCTGTGATAGACTCTGCTACAAACGTGGACTAGTATTTACGGACAAAAAAGCTACTACTTTTACGTGTAGGCTTCCTAGATCTTACTACTCCTTCTAGTAGTATGTGTGAACGGCGTAGATTACTGTTAATAAGTTCGCGATTTGCCGCAGCATTTGTGTCCACTAATTGTTCTATTAAGTCGCGTCGCTTTCGTTTTCTTAATATGCGAGTAGATAGCTGTGTTTCTAGAGTAGGTGTAGAACTGTGGTAATATTCTATATAATTGTCTGGATCTGGAGTAGCTGTCACAGCTAGTGTAGGCAGAGATCGGTGTCCTGCGTCGTAATCCTTATAAGGTTTTTTAGTGCTTTGTGTAGACGAAGTTGGTATATCTGTCTCCTAGCTAGCTGCTATTGTAGCACCTTCGTCCTCTTCTTTAGAAGACTCTTCTAGATTCTGTAGTGGTGGCATATAGATTATATGTATAATATCTTGTATCTCTTCGCCTTGTAGTAGTGGATCTTAACTATTGTAAGCTTGGTAGAATATGTTCTCTCTGAACGTTACATTGCGTGTACGAATGACTTTGCTCTAATACGCTTTACTCTTTGCTTTTGGTATCTAGATTCTATAGATATTTAATGTATTGTAGCTAATAAGGTAGCCTATAAGGGCGCGAGGAGTGAGCTTATTACCTCGCGGTATCTGCGTGCGTAGTGCGTATGCTTAGCAGCTATATATTTTGAGATGGGCTATTGACGGCTTCTTATAGTATGCTATTTTAAATGGTGTTTTCTAGCTAATTGATTGTGTAGGCGTACAGTTAAGTAGGTAGCCTGTAGTGACGTACGTCTCTAGAGCAAGATAGAGTGGTAGTTTTAACGTGCTTAGTATAGATTATAAGTAGTTAATTAGAGTCTTGCCTGATCTTTCTATAGAGCTATTCTGCTCTTTTATATATAGAGCTCTAATCTAGAATCTGATTCCTTCTTGCTAATAGTATACACGCGTAGAGTTGTCTATTAGTCTATAGCCTCGTTCGTTATTAGCTATTATAAATATAATAGTAGTATTAAACTCCCGTTTAATTGTACAATCTAGGCGAGTAATTACTTTAAGTAGAGTCTTCTTATTACGTTTAGGAATTGAGTATATAAAGTTAAATTTCGTATATAGATTAAAGGTATAGAATACGTATTAATGCCTATTATAGCCTATAACGTCGAGCTTAATAATATTAATCGCTACTATCTTAAATAGGCGAGACGCGCTAGTCTTATATCCTATACGATAAGATATAATCTAATAAGCTTTATTCTATAAGTATAGTTTATAGTTAATTATACGTAGTGCTAGGCCTGTAAGTGGTTACTAGATACTCTAGACGTTTTCTACTAGATAATTAATAGTATTACTACCTACGTGTGCTATAAGGATATAAAGCTAAGGCTTAGTAAGCACTCGAGGTTTAAGAGGTTAAGCTAAGTACTAAGGCCTGCGTTAATTGGCTGTAAAGGCTGTATATTAAGCAGATTAGATTAGTAGAAGCTAGGTACGATGTACGACTAGCTAATAGCCTTCTAATTAGGTAAGGTTTATAATATCCTTGCGAGCATTATTAATAGCTCTATATAGGGCATTTCTTCCTAAGTTAAAGTAGATATTTAATAAGGAGAGGCGGGATAGCAAGACAAGGCTAGTAAAGAAGGATTAAATTAGAGCTACGCGCTTCAGCGTCGTTATCTTAATACTACTTAGCGTTAATAGAGGTAGCTTAACTTTACTCTATGCCTCGATTTTCGTCTCCGTTCCTCTTATAAGAACGATATTATTATTAGCTACTAGAGCTTTCTAATTAAACTCTGTAAGGTTATTATAGATATAAATATTAGTAGCTGGATCTAGCGTCTATAAGTAGGTAAGTAGATATTATTAAGCTACTCTCTAGTTATTAAACGTAGAAAAGAAGACGGCATATGCTTCGTGCGGGGAATAACTAGCTAGTAAGTCTCCTACGTCAATTTCTATTAAATTAGAGTCTAATACTTTACTATAGTTACTACTATCTCTAGTCTTATACTTCTTAAAGCGTTGATTCTTTTCTTAAATCTTACTTAGTACTCTACGACTATCCTTAGTCTTAAAGTTAGTAATCTTCTTAGCTTTTTTAGGGTCTATAACGAATTCTCGTTGCTAAAGTGCTATATTAATATATAGGTATTAGCCCTAGAAATAACTATCGCTATAGAGGTAGGACTTTACTAGCTTATTCTTATTATCTCTTAATCGTTTCTTATTATTATATAGAGATAGCTAGCTATTTATCGTTGCTCTAAAGGCACCTCTATAGATATTTACCTTTCTTAAGTAGGTTGTACGATAGTAGCGTAGGTATTTAGTAAGAATAGTAGAGAGCTAAGATTGATAAGGTATTGGCTTGCTGCGATCTAAGTTCTAGATTTCTTTAGCTTTAAATATATCTAGTAAAGTACTAGCAGCGTATATAGTGTTAACTTGCTTAATTGCTTAGATAAGATCCTTATATGCCCTAAATCTGTATACTTTAGGTAGATTAAGCTATTTTACTCTACTATATACTATAAGAAACTTATTATACTAGTCTTTAATATTTGTTCGTTAAGTATATAGAACCTTAGCTACTTCGTAGTTCTTCTATACTTAATATTCTTTATTAGACGTAGTAGGAGAGAAGAGATCTTATAGTGTCTTAATCTAATTGTAGACTATTATCTTGTCTTTAATATAATATAGTAGTTCCTATTATATAGTCTTAGTAATATGCGCTTCTACTTAGCCTAACTTATCTTAAAGACGTCTATATTCTTTAATCTCCTTATAGTAGCTACTATAGTCCTAGTTATACTATAGTAAGTCTTGCTAAGATAGTAGAGTTGCAGAAGATCTATCGATATTAGTGATAGGTGCTAGCCTAGTGGGCTAAACAGGCTTTTATAGAGGATTTACTAGTTTATTAAGATTAATATATTTCTATACGTCTTCTACTTTAGTAATACGCTTAATAATAAATATCTAAAGCTCCTAGTTACTCTATCTATAAAGGATAATATCTAAACAAATAGTATACGTTAATATAATAGTATAGGTAGGTAGGTAGTTAATTAATTAAGAAAATATGCGGATTAGGCCAGACTTATAACTATAAGTAGTTAGAGGTATAAGAAGTATTATATATTCTCTAGTATATAATACTTAGAGTAAGTTTAAATATAGTATTATTAGTTAGTAAGTAACTACGTAACTATACATGGTACTTCTAGGCTTATACCTTCTTATCTTCTAAGTAGATAAGGATGTTGTCTAGGTAGGCGATAATGAATATATCTAGATATAGCCTAAGTACGTCGTTAATAAGTTCCTAGAACGTTACTAGAGCGTTTCATAAGCCTAAATAGTATAACTATATACTTATAATATCTATATTAAGTTCTAAATACTATTTTCTATTCTTTACCTTTCTTTATTCTAATAAG